AAATGTCACATCATTTGTTTGTTTTAAATAAAGCTATGTTTATTTTAATTAAAAATTCCAAAACCCTTTTTTAGAGCAAATTGTTTAGGTATTGATGGTATTGGACTATAGATGGTGCTTTGGATGGTCAAATAAGAACCACACAGAATGAATAATTAGCATGAAGGAAATAAAGGGGGAAGGAAAGAGAGAGACCCTGCGTGTAACATCCTATTTTTCTAATCTTGTAATCAACTACTAATCAAGGGTGAATTAGTAAAATAGTAAATGATTAGAATATTTGATGAAAGTTTGGTATTATGACTCATTGGGATATCAAATGAGCAAATACAAGTGCAAGAACTGCATTTAAGGACAAAATGTGTGAGCACGGTGAGGATTTTTCTCACTATGCCACGCGCCACGACATATGGCATAGAAAATGACTTAGTAAGTCATAGATCAACTGGTGAGGGCAAAAGGAAAGAAGGGAAAACGTGAGTGGGAGACGGAGAAAGAAGAGTCAATAGCTAAGGCAGGTATTTTTGGGGTATTGAAAGGCACTTTCAACCAGTAGCTTATTAGGTAAGCTTCATATAGGCTTTACCTCCAATTCTACTATAATTTTTCTTGGTATGAGGTATAAAGAAATTGAATCAGGAAAATTTAAAGGGTTTGTTTCTTACCCTATAGTAATAAAAAGGTTCTTGAGAGAAATTAAATTTTTGTGACTAGTTTAAAGTTGAACGATAGAGCTTTGAACCTATAAACTTAATTTGGCCCTAACTTAAAGGAAAAAAAAGGGTGGAAATGAAGTAGAGGTAAAATGCGATGGTAAAAAGTGATAAAAAGTGGTGATTGAGTGGTAATTGACTTAGATTGACTAAGTGGAAAAGAATGAATGGCTAAATATAGCTATAATTAACAATTAAGTAGTTTTGGTCAATTGGATCAATTGACTAATTGTGCCAATTGTATATAGATTGGCATCTTTCAAGTGTAAAGTGGGAAGAGAACTTAGTAGAGATGAGTTAGCAATTAAGAAAGTACCATGGGTAGCCTTTCTTGTAACGAAAGGGTTGAGGTACCTGAATAACTTCCTCTGTTTGACTATTGATTGTAACTGCATGAAAGTATGATATCTAGTACATGAGATTATTTTAAACTAAGCATGTTTTGTGGCATTGCATGAATGTTACGTGAAAACAAAGTTTGGTTTGGTTCCATAAAATAGCCAACCGGTTTGGTCAGGAGTATTGGAGGACCAGATGATTAATGATCATGCATTTGAATTGTGGTGATTGTATATGGTGTGTTTGTTATGCATGTTTTAAAACTTGTTTATAACTTGGCATGTTAATCGATATTGTATATTATCTTAGTTATTAAAATTTTTATCTCACCCCATAATTATTATTTTATAGGTTCTACTATTAAGTTTGAGCAAGGAAAGGAATCAGGCAAGGATTAGCAAATTTGCTATATTATGAATAGGAATGCCCGATTTTTTGAGTGGTGTACATAAACTTATGATATGATATTATATGTTGCCAATTAGGAATGCATATCATTTTGATTGGTTGCACTTGTATTATACTATGTTGTTTTGTATTTTAGCCCAATATTATATATGATGTGAATAAGTGGTGATTTTTGTAGTGATAGGCTAAAATACTAATACAAATACAAAGAATATTGTATATATATGGTGGTAATGTATATGTAATGAATTATGTGGTAGTAGAGGCCAAATGGTGTATGTGGTATTGATTTTATGTTTTTGGCCATATTAGGTGAAATTGGCATTAAGTGGTTAGATTTTGTGTTTAGTACGTTTTTATGTGTTTAAATACTCAATTAGATGTATTTTGGTCCATTCGACTTGGTTCAAGTCTCAAAATAGGTTAATGATATAAGTTTTGAGTTTCGGGTACCTAGATGCTCGAAAATCGCTTTAAAAAATTAACTTTGGCATATGAGTGTCTAAAATTCTCCTATGGTGTCGGATCGTAATAAAACTTGTACCATTAGTTAGCTTATTGAATAAAATTTATATAGGTTCTTGAATCACTTTAATCGGACATCCAATGCGAAAATGGTGCACATTTGAAATTCATCCTGAAAAAGCTATCTTGACAGTATTTTTACTGTCATGACAGGGACACGTGCGTCGTGATGCATTTCGCGCAAGCTGTGGCGCATGGTACAGTAGCCAAATTGGCATCTTTGTACCACATGCCGTGATGCATGGACCACAAGGCCCGGCGCATGTACCAAAATACTCAAAAATGACAATTTGGCCTTATTTTCAAGTGTTTTGCTTCCCAAAACTTTTTCATGCTTTCAATACCTTTATAAATCATTAAGTTTGAGCTCAAACTACCTATTTAAAGGGTTTTTATGGGATCTCAAATATTCCAAATTAATTCTAGATTATTAGCTTTATCCCTTGTGTATTTCAAAATTATTCCTAAAAGATTATTAATTTTAACCCTTTTATATTTAATATGAGCTTAGGAGTAATCCTTGCTTCTAATTATCATTGTTTGTTGTGAGTTGGTGGTGAATGTTGGTAATGTCAAGGCGGACATTACACTTATTGTTTATACACTTGTTCTATTAGACTTGTACTTTTAATCATCAACAATAAGTATCCATTCAGATTTTCACAACAATGCTTTCATAATTAACAACCATTTATTTAGGCCTTTAACAAGCTAGAAAAAGGAATAGATGAACTTAATTTTACAAGTGTTAGTCACTCATCAACAAGCATCCATTTGCAATTTGCCAATAACTATTTTGTGATTAACAATAATACATTCAGATTTTAATAGATAAAATACATGAAGTTTTGAAGCTCCTAATTTGTAATTGACCATGTCAAATAAGTAAGTAACATTAATAAAATAACAAATGTCATTCTAGAATTAACAACACATTGTTATATTAAAACATGAAAGTGGTTTAAAAACTTGGATTGCTACATACTTTTTGTCCTATATAATTAAAAGAGCTTGGCTTTAGGTGGTCAAGGGATTGTAGGATCAAACCTCTCCTTGGCCACCTTTACCAATTTTTTTTTTTTCAAAAAGTATAGGGTCTCCGACAGTGGTCAGGTGGCTGGTGCTAGCAACAATGGGGATGACTTTTTTTATTTTTTATTTTAGGGGGCAATTTGATCATTTCACATAGAAATTAATATCTATTAAGGATCAAGGGATTGCAGTAAAATTTCATAATCTATTGATTCCTGACCAATATAAATATGCTCCAATGGTCTTTGATTGATATTTTTCTTTAGTTATTTTTAAATTTTATGATTTTTTTATTTTTTAAATATGATTTAGTATTTAATTATTTTAAAATTTTATGATATACTCTCCTATCCTACTTTTTTAAAACATTCTTTTTCATTTATTAAATCAAATTATTTTTAGGAGCTACTCAAAGTATTTTCCAAAAATAACCAAAAATCTACCTTTTTCAGATTTTAATCATTTTCTATAGTTTAAAAAAATATAATTAAAACTAATAAAATATTTTTAAAAAAATTAAGTAATTTTTTTATAAAATAAGCTAAAACAAGCTTGTTTTTAAATAAACATTCTAAACACTCATAAAATAGATATTTAAAAAAAGTTATTTTTTATAAAATAAATTAAAACAAAAGAACTCTTCATCTTACAAGAATTAATAATTTAATGCTGAATAAAGCTATGACGACAGAACATGTAGATTAATTTTTTTGAAATATTAAGATGAAAAAAGTGCGAAGGATGAAGGAAACAATAGAGTTCCACTTTCTGTTATTTTTCAGCTTTCACATGGGTCATGCGTGTGCGCGCGGCAACTGGGAAGAGAGGTCAGAGGGCACTCGTGTCGGGTCCTATCGTGGGAAAGTTATTGCTAAGGACTGAGAAAAAAATAAAATTTATGGTAAAGATCATAAAAATTAAAATTAGACTGAAGGACCAAGATAAATATAACTAATTATTATAATTTTAATATAAAACATATTAATAGTATTTTAAAATTAATGGTATTACATAAGTTATAAAAAAATATTTTAAAAATAAAGTTGGGCGTATTCCAATTTCACATAAATAAAAACAAAATATAGTATTAAATTTAATTAAATCAATAAATTTTAAGAAATAATTAATTGATTATAATTTTAAAATTATTACTTTTAAAAAATTAAAGCAATATAATTTAAAAATATTTTTAAGAAATTATTACATTTTATTTCTTTCATGGGTTTAAAAGATTTTTTAGCGTGAACTTATCTTTATAGGACTTATTTAACATTACGATGAATTGATTCAGTGCCCATGTGATGATGATATTTAACTCCTCTTTTTTTCAAACTTGCGAGTCTTCAAGACACTAAATTTTTCAGTTGCTTTGATTTCTAATATTATTTATTTATTTACTATTGTTACTGTCAAATTCAATTTCAAATGTGGTTAGAGAAAATATACAAGATTTAGTTAGGGACGATTTTATATTTTAAAATTTATATTCTAGTATTTGGTCAATCTCAATCATTATTATTTTCAAGATCATTTTTAATAAATATTATTTTTTTCGGGTTTTTAGCAATTCCCTTCATTATTAGGATCTCATAACTTTGCCTTCCTCCACGGAACGTACGGTACGGAACAAACCCTGTCCCCTATTTTTATGCCAAATATTTTTTTAATAAATTTTGTATCAAAGTATAAGAAAACTATCTTCGTATTATTTAAAATAATAAAAAAAACACAAACAAATTATGTGAGATATATGTTTTTATGAATTAAAAATAAATAAATAAATAATAATTTTGAAAACGGAAACAAATGAATAAGAATATATATATGTATATATAGAATTATGCTGTTATGATTTTGCAAAATCTGGTTATCTTTCTTTTTCCAATTCAAATGACTCGGCGTGGCTGAATAAAAAGCAAATTCCGTATAAATAAATAATAAGATTTTAGAAAGAGTTGAAGATATTTTGGGTGAGAGAGACAGGGGGGCGGGAGAGAGAGAGACGGAAGGGGAGAGAAAAGCGCAGATCCAAAGGCAGAGAGACAACCCAGAAGCAGAAGGTATGATCTGTTGTTGCCTTCTTTTCTTACGACTTTCAATTCTCTCCATCAAACCATCTCTGATCTGTGCTAAACTTTGCGTTTACACGCAGTTTGATTAGATCTGTAGTTTTTTTTTTTTTAACTGTCTTCATTTATCTCTGCTTCATATAACGAAAATTGACATCTAGTGGAATCCATTCGCGCCTTTGCTTCTCACAGGGCCTGTTCTTAGTTCTTTCTACCCCACGATCACCTTTTCTTTGTTCTTCAAAGCATCTTTATGCCATCTTTATTTTCATTGATTTTTGGTTCTTAAACAAATGACTTTTATATGTTCAGAGACGACTCTAGCATAAAATACATTCCGGGTCCTATTTCAAAGATGCTTTTAATTAAATTACGTGGATTAATGAAAATTGTTTATAATTTGTCAGGAGTTTTGATTTTTTTCACAAAAACGGTTAATTAAAATTGTTCATCTGAGTTGCGGAGCATCATCCTCTTGCAAGTTTTATTTCCCTGCTTGTGTCCCCTAGTGGTGTGTGTGAGAATTTCTTTCTTCCTCTGTTACGTTTTGGTGGTGAGCATTTATACGCTGTGTGATGAAGTTATGGATTAATTATTGTTTCTATTTTTGTTGCTGTGGCTGAGGAGTATGAGGGGTTGAGAATCAAACAAGTTTGAAGAGCATGATTTTGACGTGTAATTTCACTGTAATCGTTTTGGTTCTTACTCGAGGAAAATAGCAGTGGGTTAAATTTTCTTTAGGCTCAAACAAATTCTTAATAGGAAATTGATTGGAAAAGCATGATGAAGTTGATTATGGAGGTTTAGAAATTGTTGGGTAAGATATTAAAGCTTGAAAAGGTATAATGAATGGTTTGGAAATTATGCACGCTAGTTGTTTGATATAATAAGGTTTGAGAGAAAATCATATAACTATGCTATGGTAAAGTATTATGGAACTTGTAGAAAGCTTACTAAGACCAGTTATATTTTATATAGGATGGGGTGAAGAGGAGAAATTTTTTAGAAGTTGAAAGAAGTAAATATTGGATTTGGTAGAATGACAGGAAGTTTGGAAGGAGAGAAAATCGATTAATGTGGTAAGAGGAGGACCCTATACTTTGAGAAAATTTTAGGTAAGTGAATAGCACCCCATTTAATTTATTCTTAATAGTCTTTTATTGAAATATTTTACTCTTATGAATTATATTAGTTTTTGGAATTAAATTATGATATATGCATTTATTTTTCCTCAAGAAATATATTTCCAAAATTAATGAAGGCATTTTTACTTATTAAACTCTGAAATTTCTTGGTTACTCAATTAATGCAAGCTTGTATATTAGCAATGAGGTATTCTTTTAGCAAATTTTAAGATTTGAAACAATTCATGCGAGTTTGGCATTGAGAATGAAAATTTTATTGCAAAAATAATTATTTTTCTCAAATGTTTTAAATATGATTTTCAAGAGGACTCTAAACAGAACACTACTGCTAAAAGCAGTTTCGTTAGCCTATAACTCGCTGTGGTTAATAACTAGCTAGTTTGTTTTGTGAGCTTTGTTTTCACATTTGTTATTCGTGGGCTTTGTACCCGCATTTGATTTTGTGGCCTTGAGCCACGTTTGGTTAGCCTTACCCTCATGGACTATGTGTCCACATTTGTTTCATGGCTTCAGCCGCATTTAGTTACTTACCCTCATGGACTGTGTGTTCATGTTTGTCTTCGTGGCGTAAGCCACATTTAGTTATTTACCCCCATGGATTGTGTGTCCATGTTTGTTACCTATTCTCTTAAGTCCTCAAAATTTTTAAATTTTGATTAACTTGTTCATTTAAAATTCCAATTATTTTAATTACTAAGTGTACTATTTTGAATTATGTGTGAGTAATTTACTTTCTTTAAGCATGATAGAATAAAGTGCTTCCAACTGATTCTCATTTTACGATTATGAGTATGATTTATAGACTTTTAAAGGTATTATGCTGAATTATCATCGTTTCAATTATTTCACATGATTATTTTAGTTTAGTATTTTAATTCTTTTAAACTCTATTTTGGGAATGCTATTCATTAAAAATTATTTTGATCTCAAATTCATTAGTTGAAGATGAACTTTTTGCTAATTATTGAGGGCTTTATCACTGAGTGGGAAGTGGAGGAGCTGTAGACTAAGCTGCCTTTTAATGAAAAATTTGAATTATAAAACTGTATTTTGTAAATTAATTTTAGGTGCTCCACATATGCTATAGTTAGGATCCATATTTCGACATATATTTCGCTTGCTGTCTAGAAGGAGTTGAGCTCCTAGTTGATTGAGATTTGTTCGAAAATTGTATTGTAAAATTTTGGGAGATCTTATTGTACAAGAGAGATTCTGTTGAAATTTCTATAAAAATATTAAGGCATCATTTTAAATGAAAAGTATAAAAAAATGAAAAATTTCTTGAGTTAGGCTTAAGAGATGTATGTTTATGTGCATATTCTGTGCCGGTCACTCTTATATTTTAGGATGTGACAATAACAATCAACTAACCAAGGATAATAGCATGCCTCTTGAAACTCCATTGAACAAATATACTTTTTCAATGGTTGGGAAAAATTTGTCACTATAGGTGCTCTTTTGAATTGATTTTTGTTGCTCATCAAATGTAACAAAACTTATATGTTTTGAGGTATCATCTGAAATATTATAATAAGCATATGAAAATATTAATTAAAAATTAAACTTACAAGTTTCGAGGTATCAACTTCATCAAAGAGGAGCTTTTGAATATTGGTAGCCAAATAAACTGCAAGCACAAAGTTGCAAAGCAGGTAAATGCTACCAAATATTATCTCCAACAGGTTGGCAGGGTGCAAATCGCCATAGCCAATTGTTACCACCATAGTGATTAAGAAGTATATTGATTTCCAGTATCTTGATCCAATACTTTTGTCCTTAAAATATGGATCTAAACTTCCAATCCAAGTATATTCCACATAAGGATATGTATCCGCAATCTAGTAAAATATACAAGCACCACAGTGTATCAAAAAATATGTTACCTATAGCAAAATTTAATCAAATTTAATTTTATCAAGTATGTGTACTTCAATTCGCACACCTTGACCTCTAGTGATAAAAATAAGATAGAATAGGCGTAATAACCCATATTATAATTATAAAGCTAAATCAAATATTAAGAAAAATTTATTGTATGTTTAGTAATTGTTGGAGGAAGAGTATCATGCATTAGTGGCTTAGTGGAATTTCTATTGGCACTTATTATTTAGGTCTTGTGTTTAAGTTCTGACTGTGCACGAAAAAAGGGAGCTATTATTTTTGCCTCTTACACGTAATTACCATTTTTCCCCTAAACCAAAAAAAAAAAAAAACAGAGAGAGAGAGTGGCAGAGGTTAAGTCAGCAACTTCTTATTCTTTCTTCTTTATCTTCATTCTTCGAAGATTCAACCTTCTTCCTCCACTTCGTTCTTTTGCTACCGGCAACCATGGGGTAATGTTCGTCTGCTACTATGGTGGTTCCTTAAGGTCATGATTTTATTCTCCCTTCCTCATTTTGGTTCAGTCGAGTAAGAAGGAGAGGTTGACTGAGAGAGAGCGCACTGACCAGCAGCCCCCTCATTCACTCATCCATGCTTCCTTCGTAGTTCAAATTGTTGCAAGTGAAAATAGGGTAATGTTCCACCGCTGCTCTATTTTTTTTTTTTTTTTCTGATTTGAGGTCCATTCATCCTCCCCTACTTCTCTATTGATGTGCCACCGTGGGGATCACTGTCTTTAGTCTTCTCCTCCGTCTCCCCTTCTTCGTATGTCTCCTATAACATTCAACTTCTTCTTCTTGATTCGAACAGCAGCATCTCCTTCTTCCAACTCCTGCCATTGTCGATCTGAGTTTCAAATCTTCTTTATCCTCTTCTTTGCAAGGGTAGTTGTTGCTTCAGGTGAGGAACTTCGAATTCATTCTCTTTTATTGGTGGCTTCATGTGTGTGTGAGTGCTCTAATGGCTAAGACTGAAATTTTCTTGTCTTGCATTGCTGATTTGGGTTTTTTTTTTAATTTCCTCTTTAACTATTACTATTATGCTGATGGGAGATAATTTGAGTGAGATTCAAGTGAGTTAGAATGAAGTTTTGCAATCCTTAAGGAGGTGTTTATGATTTAAATTCTATGGAGCTATTAAAATAAATAAATGAAAGAAACAAATAATAATAAAATGTGTTTAGTTGTTTAAAAGCATAGTCATGCAAATATTGATATTGGAGAATTTTGGGAAGTAAAAGTTGAATAAGTAGAAGCTTGGTCATAGTGTGAGGTTTATTGCCTACAAAGTGTTCAATAAGATGACTAAGAGAGAGTCTTGTTATATAATGACATTGTATATATGATGAGTTAATTGATTAAATAAACTATCATTAGTAGACAATTATTTTTATGGAATTTGTGGGGTTGGTTGATTCAAATATATATTTTGTAAAATTTTTGGGAGTTGCAATCAAGGAGGAAATATGTTTGATTTGAGCTTAAGAATTAATGTATGAAAGATATTTGACAAAACTATCTATTAGAAGGAGTTTTTATCAAATTATGTAATTGGTGAATTCCATCAATTTTTATGAGGGTGTATTTGGTATGGGTTATTGATTTCAACTTAGCCTTGTAGAGGATTTTGATTATGTAGTTATTGGGTGGTTAATTAAATTTTAGAAATTGCACGGTTGATGATTTATAAATTATGGTGTTGATTTATGACTTATTTTGGGGTGCACGTAAGGTGTTTGATAAAGTGGGTTATAGAAGTTATTTTTTTTTAAATAAATAGAGTTGGGTGTGCACGCCTGTAATGTATATATATCTTGATTAAAATTTAGTTATGTGTGTTTGAGGCGAGTTGAAAAGACAAGTGTAATATAGACAAAGTTTTGCGCGCGTGCGCGCGCACACACAAAAAGTATTGTGAGGACTGAAGGACTTTAGGTATATATCAGATTGATTTGGGAACTTAGTG